GGCCACAACCGGGTCCTGACAGGCAACGAACGAAAGTAACGCGACTCCCGACGAATTAGGGCAAATCGAGGCACCTGTACATCACGAAGAAAGGGAAACACGCGCAGACATTAAAAGTTTCGATTTCATATACGTGCTATAGTCATAGCTATAAAAATTGCAGCACTTCATGATACCAATGTTTTCATCTTTATCCTCACATAAGCACTGACCGTCCATGTCATTGAACGTTGAAGACTAGATTTCCACGAGAGAAAATATAATTCGTTACAATGTACCGAATATTAGTGTTCATAACATTCTTACACAATACTAGAAACATGTTAGACTTCCGTTGTTATTAATAAAATCGAAAAGAAACTTTCTATGAAGTAGAAATATATCACTCCTGAGTGTTCCAAGAGTTAAGAAGTCCGTTTCCATCGCATAGCAATTTCAATGAGTGTTGAGCTACTTGTTAACACTAAAACTACCGGGTCGTAATTGACTTTTCGAAATTCCGGGACAGAAACTCCAAGGATACATCTATTGAGACTTTAATTATTTTACAATTCAGATTGCGTATTGCTAAATCCATTTCGTTAATAATTCCTCAGAGAAACATCTGTTCTCTTTTTAAAGGAAAGACGCCAGGAATGGGTCATTTCGACCTGTCCGGTAGTTTCAGTGTTAAAGTCAGAGTGTTAACCGCGCGAACAAGAATGTCGGAAGTACAAGGGCGAATTGAACATTTAACGGATTAAAATCTGAATTCGTCTGCCGCGATGTGTACGTACACGTGTAGTTACGCGCACGTGAAACAGGGACCTCTAATTACACGCAGCGAGATAAGGGAACAAGAGGGGACGGGTTGAAGCGTGACCGATACCCGCCTCGGCTCCGCTAAAAACGTCGCCAGTATTCTCATTCACGTCGCGTGCTGGCGTGGGCGTGTCGTTTCTGGCTTGTCGCGGCGCGGTGTAACGGCGTCCGCGCCGCGCCGGTGTTAACGAACACGCTCGCGCGCCTGAGAATGCGATAATAGGACTCGGATTCGTTGAATTTCGATGGAAATAGACGAGCGTGGATACCGGCAGCCTTTCGAATCACTGGATTTCAGACGCGACACGACGCGGTTACGGGGTTTACCGAACATGTTTCTGGAATGGATGGAAAGAGTGAAACGGAGATTCTAGGGGGTACGCCGGGAGCATGTTAATTGGATTGGTTTGTAGGTCATGGCTGCGATGTGTTTCTTGCACTTCGGATTACTGCATTCGCGATTTCTGAATGACTTTTTCAGCGTGTTGTGGAAGTTACCGTTCGGTATTTAATGATTAACGGTTGCAATGGAGACAGTGGTCGTCAGTGTTATTTCGATCTTTCATTAGCATAGTGTTATGGATTTATATATATAAGTCGTAATAAGAAAGACTATGATTGAGTTACCAAAATAAGCTTTCACAATAATTATGCTAATAGAATTTTATTATAAGTTCCTTCGGATATTCATTGCGGAAGCTTATTAAATTCCGATAAATAAATCATAGTCTGTCTTACTACGTCAGATAAATACTTGTCAAATTAGTGTCAAAATAATTCGCATTGTTATCCGAGTGAATAGGTGAACGAATTTACTGCGTACAACAGACGATCATCCAGACGTAATAATCAACGATTTGTCAAACGAATTCTTCGAAGATCCGCGAGATCCATGAAGCTTAAGCAAACGATCGTTACGTTAACTCTCACTTTCGCGCGTTTCCTTTCATTAAACAAATTTGCTCGGACTTTATGATATTTCACGACTGCGGGTACCACGGTCGACGCGTTAATATTCAAACAACATAGAAAGCGTTCCGAGTAGCGCGATGCAAACGACTTATTAACGATTTTACAACGCGACGGAGGGAGAAAAGGAAGAAGCATTTACAATCGTTCCTCCACTTGACGACGAGCCAAGGGAACAAGACTACCTCGAGCAGCGAATTCCAGAAGCCTGACCTTCATATCCCGCGAATTGAAGCCGCCTCCGCGCGGCTCTCGTCGAGTGTCGGGCCCGCGGCTCCTCGCCAAGCTTGAATACTCGAGGCGAGTCGCCGAGGCGTGCGCACTTGTCAATGCGCGTTCATACCCATTCACCGAATTCCTCGGTTCAATGGGCCGTATCCTGAATACGCAATGACACCGTAGGTTTCGCCAGGTTCGAGAACCGCGATTCCATCCGGAGTCGAGAAGAATGTAATCCGATCACGCATTACCGGCGATGATTCAAATACTGCAGGGCCTGCGATCGACCGAGTCTCCATTTTCCGTGATCTAGATTAGCCAGAGTCTTTGTTACAATGGAACTTAATGATTTGGATTCCTGGACTGTACCTCGGAGTACGTACAATCGATTGTTAGACATTTTAAGATATTCCTTCTAAAGCGACCATTTACCTTGACTCTAAACCGCCCAATTAAATCGAATAATCGACATCATATCTTCTATAATCTACAAATCGTTGAATTTCTTTACAACCGAATAATCACGGAATCGAGTGGCTGCAGATGAATTAATTTCGCGAACAACGATGACTAAGAGTAGATCTTCAATCAAATTCGTATTCATTCTATTTATCTTTCATTCGATTGTAATCCGAATTGAATATTAATCGACCAGCAACTTCTTAGATGTAACAAGATAAGTTAACCCATTCACAACTACAAGATATCTCGCAGTTTGCGCAACAAGTTTAGATTCTTTGCTACCGATCTTCCTGTGCGAGAAGATTTTCCTGGGCAGTGAATGGGTTAAGCGAGGTCTTCGAAAATATAGGTCAATGTAGATCCAAGCTTTTGAGAACTAGAGCTTCGTTTCCCGTGGAAATACCAGACAAAATCCAATCCGCGTCCTGAGAGATGCATTACCGATCCTCCCGACGCGATCCACGAGTGCTGCAGAGCTTGAGCACGCAGCTTAGGTGTCACGAGCTGCGTTCCTTCTACTCGATCACAATGAGACGCGGGCCGGGAAGGAAGCACGGAGGACGGGCAAAGATGAAGTCGACGGGTAGAAGAGAAACTGCCCACGCTCTTTTATCTCGGTGGCCCTTTGTATTAAGCCGCTGTCGCAACTGGTATGCGCCGGCTTCACCAAAGTCCACCTTCTCTTCCTGTCGATTCCTCTTTTTGCTCCTCGCCCACCCCGCCGGCGTGCCGCCCCCTTTTCCCCGCGCCGTCTTCCCCTCCACGTCTTGATAGATCTATGAAGCTTCGTTTCTAACATACGTAATTCGTTTCCCCGCCAGTTTTCGTTCCTTTCTTCGATCGCCGATCCACCCTTTCACGAATTCTTGGCTCGGGGACCCCCGCGCGACGTGGGTCAAACCGCAGACGGGAAGAATTCCTTCGGGCCGGGACTAATGTCTGCGATTTCTCGTGGATGTCGCGACACGGATTTTGAGAAAAGGGAATTTGTAGTTTGTCGCTCGCTGGATGGGCCGTGAAAGGATCGGGTTTGGGCTTGAAACGTGATTTCTCGGAGTTGTATCATCAGTTTCGGGGAAGAGGAATTTAGGTTTTGTTATCTGCTGGGGTATTGTAGGATTAGATGGTTCGACGGTTTGATCTGGATTGAATGTTTCTGTGACTTCTAGAATCTGTGTTACTCGTTTTGAAGGGAAGTTTGTTATTTAAGTCGTTCATTCGGAAAATGTTAAAGGAAAAGGATTAGAAGTGTGTGAGATGTTTCTGTGATTTTTAGTTGAAATTATAACGTCGATTTGGGAAAAGGGAATTCATCATTTTATGCGATGAATTGATGGAATAGAAAAGAAACGAGATGAAAAAGCAGAGATTCACGTCGTTATTTCTAAGAGTAGGAAATTAGTACTTGCTAACTAGAAGCCCGAGTGACGTGAAAAGATTTTAACAGCTTTCACGCCCCGTCTCACGCCGAATTACGCGTACTTATTCGCCAGTCACGGCGGATCTGCATACCCTGAAGGGATATCGCGGGAACTAACCGGTCAAAGTGCGAAGGTATGCGATTGGCTCGTATCCAAACCGTAGTTACCGCACGTCCAGCTGTCAGCCGGACTGTTACACCAGAATGCCACGTGACAGGATAAACGCACCCTTAATATTCAATGGAGGATGGCTGCACAATGGCTTGTTACAGTTCGCGGGTTCCCAGACGCGAGGATAATAATAGAAAACGCGATCGAACGATGACCAAGATCTTCTGGCCTACCGTTCGCGGAAATTGCGTCTCGATGATTCACCGAACCGACTGCAGGTTGCTTGAGATCTTACTTATGCAAACCTCTGAGAACTGGCAGTTAATGGAAACTCTTTTGAACCGCGGATATTATGCAAATTGACTTTTCGTTACGTTCCGTAACACAATTACCAGCTCATTTTAATCATTCTTTAGACACGATT